CACACACACACAAGTGCGCGCGCACGCACACACACACACACACAAGTGCGCGCGCGCGCACACACACACACACACAGCTACACACAAGTGCGCGCGCACACACACACACAGCTACACACAAGCGCACGCGCGCGCACACAAAGATACACACAAGCGCGCGCGCACACACACACACAGATACACACAAGTGCGCGCACGCGCACACACACACACACACAGATACACACAAGTGCGTGCACACACAGAGGCTTAGAGCACATGGCCCTTTCCTCTGGAGAGGTGCGCACACACACACACACAAGTGCGCACACACACACACACACACACGCGTGCCCACACACAGGCATAGAGCACATGGCCCTTTCCTCTGGAGAGGTGCGCACACGCACACACACACACACACAGATACACACTCATGCGCACACGCACACGCACAGGATGGTGTGTGACCGATGTCCCGCAGCATTCGCACCTGCCACCCCAGTGCAATAAGCTTTGTACACAATACCCCTTCCCTTACCCCTTCCCTTGCTGGTGAGCCGGGCGCGCCGGCCCCTGGAGCGTCAGAGCTGCGGGACACACCAGACAAGGCGGGCGAGCCAGTCTCAAAGGCCAGTGCGCCCCCTTTTGCTGGGTATCAGAGCTGAGGGGCCATCGCCAGATCCGTGGCCGTTCGACGGAAGGGGGCACAGGAACCAACCAGTGCTCTTGCCAGCAGCGTGGAACCTCGGCCACACAGTCCATGCCAGCAAACCGGAGCCCTTTACGCTCGCTCTCCCTGAAACAACAGCTCTCTGTCTGCAGGGCTCTGCACACAATGCCTAAGGTTTCCACACGGGTCTCACCTCCACTTGGCATGTGTAGGGGTCTGCAAAGGAAACCGCTGCCCTAAGGGCCAACTTCTCCAGTTCAAATAGGAAAAGAACGAGTTAAAAATCACTGAGAAAAGCGAAACGTCTGCCAGTCCCCAGGGCCTGATGAAATGCACCTAGAAGGAGCTGAGAGAGGAGGTAGCTGAGCCTCTAGCCATCATCTCTGACAAGTCATGGAAGTCGGGAGAGAGTCCAGAAGACTGCAGAAGTGCCCATCTCTAAAAAGGTAAATAACAACAACCCAGGAAACTACAGACCCGGCAGTTTAATGTCTGTGGCAGGGAAGATAAGGAGCAAGTAATTAAGGAATTCATCTGCAAATATCTGGAAGATAATAAGGTGACAACCAGCATGGATTTGTAAAGAACAAATGGTGCCAAATCAACCTGACAGCTTTCTTCGAAGGATAAGGAGTCCTGAGGCTAGGGGAGAAGCGGTGGATGTGGTATACCTAGACTGTAGGAAGGCGTTCCATACGGTCTCGCGTGACCTTCTTAGCAATAAACCAGGCCAGGGCTACTCAACATGTGGCCCAGGGTCCGTTTGCGGCCCACGGTTTGGATTTATGCAGGGCTCAACACGCAGCCTGCGGGTGGGAGCTAAAGCAAAAAAGGAGTCAATAGAAGGGTCTCCTCTTGGTATGTGTTTTAGTAGTTCCATTCCTGGACTGTCGTTGCTCATTGAAAGTGCTGTCCTATGTGTGGAAATGGGGTAAACATTGCATTTGATCAATATCAGCAGAACTGACTTACATGGGACCTGCATGTTGTGTAGTCTTGCCTTCATTGTTGTATTCATACCTGTCCGTGTGAAAGATGCTACTTGCAAGTTGAGTAGCCCTGCACTAGGCAAATACAACCCAGATGGGGCTATTATAAGGCGAGTGCCTAAGGTGGCTGGGTAACCATTCTCAGAGTAGTTATTAACAGCTCACAATCCTGCTGGAAGGGTAAAACAAGTGGGGTTTTGCCGGGGTCTGTTTTGGGACTGGCTCTGTTCAATGACTTCATCAACGATTTAGATACTGGCATAGAGAGTACACTTATTCAGTTTGCAGATGATCCCAAGCTGGGAGGGGTTGCGATTGCTCTGGAGGAAAGGTCATAATTCAAAATGACCTGGACAAACTGGAGAAATGGTCTGAGGTAAACAGGATGAAGTTTAATAAGGACAAATGCAAAGTGCTCCACTTAGGAAGGAACAATCCGTTTCACACACACAGAATGGGAAGCGACTGTCTAGGAAGGAGCACGGCAGAAAGGGATCTAGGGGTTATAGTGGACCACAAGCCGAATATGAGTCAGCAGTGTGATGCTGTTGCAAAGAAAGCAAACATGATTCTGGGAGGCGTTAACAGGAGTGTTGTGAGCAAGACACGAGAGTCATTCTTCTGCTCTACTCTGCGCTGGTTAGGCCTCAGTTGGAATAGTGTGTCCAGTTCTGGGCACTGCATTTCAAGAAAGATGTGGAGAAATTGGAGGCGGTCCAGAGAAGAGCAACAAGAACGATTAAAGGTGCAGAGAACATAAGCAATGAGGGGAGGCTGAAGGAACTGGGCTTGTTGAGTTAGGAAAAAGGAAGACTGAGGGGACATGTTAACAGCTTTCAAGTATCTAAATGGGTCTCACAAGGAGCAGGGAGAATAATCCTCTGAGGACAGGATAAGAAGCAACAGGCTTAACATGAAGCAAGGGAGGTTTGGGTTGGACACTAGGAAAAACTTCCTGCCTGTCAGGGTGGTTAAACACGGGAATAAATTGCCCAGGGCAGTTGTGGAATCTCTATCCCTGGAGATATTTAAGAGCAGGTTGGATCATCTATCAGGGTCTGTCTACACTAGCCCCGTAGTTCGAACTAGGGTGGCTAATGTAGGCATTCGAACTTGCAAATGATGCCCAGGATTTAAATATCCCGGCTTTATTTGCATGTTCCCGTCCGGTCGCCATTTTGAAATGCCACTAGTCCGGACTAACTGCCCGCAGCTACACGCAGCAGTTACACGGTAATTGGAACTAAGTCGTTAGTTTGAATGATCTGTTACCCTCATTCCAGGAGCAGTAACAAGGCAGCGGAGCTCATGAGATGGACCCCAGAGCAGGCCATAGCTGCGTTCTTATGGACTGTCCAGGAAAGAACCAGACGTTGCAGAAGGCATGTTGTGGGGAACCTCAGGACGGGGAGTATTTTGGGGTCATCCTGCAGGCACAACCAAGGCTGTGGAAGGCAGAGTGTGCCTGGAAGCTGTTGGACCAGCTGCAGACTGTGAAGAGCTCCAAAAAGATCTCATCAAACTAAGTGTTTGGGCAACAAAGTGGCAAATGAAATTTCATGTTGATAAATGTCAAGTAGTGCCCATTGGAAAAATAATCCCAACTATGCATACAATAATGGAAGGGCTAATACATAAGTACAATTATGACATTGTTGGCATCACAGAAACTTGGTGGGATAATACACATGATTGGAATGTTTGTATGGAAGAGTACAGCTTGCTCAGGAAGCATAAACAGGGAAAAAGGGAGGAGGTGTTACCTTACATATGATGGGGGCTAATTTGGCTACAACAAATCAGGAAAGGGATCTTGGAGTTATCGTGGACAGTTCTCTGAAAACTTCCACACAGTGTGCAGCGGCGGTCAAAAAGGCAAATAGGATGCTAGGATTTATTAAGGAAGGGATAGAAAATAAGACCCAGAATATCTTACTGCCCCTGTATAAAACTATGGGACGCCCACATCTTGAATACTGTGTACAGATGTGATCTCCTCACCTCAAAAAAAATATTTTGGCCTTGGAAAGGATTCAGGAAAGGGCAACTAAAATGATTAGGGGTTTGGAACGGGTCCCATATGAGGAGAGGTCAAAGCGACTGGGACTTTTCAGTTTAGAAAAGAGGAGAC